TGCAGTGGCGCAATCTTGGCTCACTGCAAGCTCCACCTCCCAGGTTCATGCCATTCTCCTGCCTCAGCTTCCTGAGTAACTGGGACTACAGGTGCCCGCCACCACGCCCAGCTAATTTTTTGTATTTTTAGCAGAGACGAGGTTTCACCATGTTAGCCAGGATAGTCTTGATCTCCTGACCTTGTGATCCACCGGCCTCTGTCTCCCAAAGTGCTAGGATTACAGGTGTGAGCCACTGCCCAGCTGGGGACCAAGGTTTTATTATGCAAATGAAGCCTCCAGGTAGCAGGCTTCAGAGAGAATGGATTGTAAATATCTCTTATCAGTCTTAAAGAGTCAATAATTCCAAAAGGGAAGAGGGTATAATCAGGCATGTCTGGCTTCCCCTTCCCATCATGGCCTGAACTAGTTTTTCAGGTTAACTTTGGAATGCCCTTGGCTGAGAGGAGGGGTCTATTCAGACGGTTGGGGGTGCCTTGGAATTTTATTTTTGGTTTACAGAGCACAGGCCCAGAAATGAGAACCAGGTTTAGGTCTTGCTCTCCTACTCTCCACTGAGTCATCTAATCTTTCTAAGCCTGAGTTTTCTCATTTGTAGAATGGAAATAATGCCCTTGCTTACTTCATAGTGTCACTCAGAGGCACAGACGATGGAGAGGCAAAATTCTTGTCTTTAACTGCCCTGAAGCTTCAGGGAGGGGTTGGACAAGTACACACACAATGTGTTGCGTACTACACCAGAGGTATGTCTGGGGCGTGGTAGTAGCAGAGTGGAGGTAAACCAGTTCTGCCCAGGAGGAGACTGCAAAGCATGGGGCCTGGTGGAAGTAGCCCTCCAGGGCTTTGGGCTCTAATGATTCTTAAACAGTGGAGTGTTAACTGTATTAAGTTTCATTTAGTCCCCACAACAAACCTGTGAGATAGGTGTCATCCATTTTACGTATGAGCAGCTGAGGCTCAGAAAGGATCATGCATTGGCTTGGCCTGGTATTTATAGAGCCCCTATTGAATGCTAAGGGGCGCAAATCTAAGTTCCTTCCTCGTGGAGCTCACATTCCACAGGTGAAGTCACTTGCCCAAGACGAGGCTGGAATGTCAGAGCCAGGATTCAAACCCTCATCTGGTGGCTTCTTACCTCACCCTATAACTCACTAGCCCTCAGGACATCCTCTTACAGGGAGCATAGACTGTCTCTGCCAGCCCCTGTGGGGAATTTGAGGATTTAAGGGCAAGGCTGGGTCAGGGATAGGAGAGGCCCTGCTATTCCTATGGAAACTTCTGTTTCCCGAGCATTCCCTGGCAGCCCCTCCCCAAAGAGAGACTGAAGGCCTGACCGTGCCAATATTTTCCCCAGGGAGGCAGGGCAGGAGAAGCTTCCCCAGGGGATTTCAAGGGAGGATGGAGGTGGTCTCTGTTCTGGGATCAGAGGGTGACACCCTCTTCCTGCTGAGGTGGGGAATCCCCTTGGATTTCTCTGGGTTTATGGGAGAGGCCTATTGTTTTCCTACTGATCAGGGCCTCAGGGGAGGAAAACTCAAGACCTGGCACGTCATAGGACTAAATCAGCCTCTGGCATCTGAGTGGCTCCTTAGGCTTGCAGCTCATTCCTGCCCTCTCATGCCCTCAGCCTCAGGCTGCCATGAGACCCGTGTCACTGCCACTGGGCAATGATATTTTGTTTTAACTCAAGGAAATAAGAGATTGGCAAACCCCCTTCTCCAAGGAAAAAAATACAGGACTGTTCATTAGAGCATTTGCTCGTAGTGAAAATCATAGGAAACAATGTAAATGGCCAATGTTTAGGAATTAAATAAAATGTGGTAAAAATGTACATGTAATGAAATACTTTTAATGCAGCCATTAAAACTCATTATGTAGAAGAAAATTAATTTCATGAGAAGAGTGCTTTATAACAGATTTAGTCAAAATTCAGATCATAAAACACAATGTACATGATCTCATTTTTAACCCAAGGAAATAAGGAAAAAAATACCTATATGTGTGCATAGAAGAATGTCTAGAAGGATGCATCCAAAGTTAATTGTAGTTATTTCTGGGTAGTAGAATTATACGTTTTCTCCTGTTTTCAATATTTCCAAGTTTCCTTCAGTGAAAATGCATGTATTTTGTAATCATGGATAAAAAGTTCCCACAGTGTGTATTGGCGAGAGAAGGATTGTTTCCTTTTGGCTTTGCACTTAGATGGCCCAAGGCCTTGGCCTTGTTCCAGGAGTGCAGATATTGTAAAAGCCACCGGGAAGACTGGGAGCAGTAGATGAGAGGCCAGCTTAAGGAGAATAAACTGGGCATCGCTGTCCAGGTGTCATCCTAAATGTCACCTCCCAGAAAGGCACCTGACCACACAACCTGGCCAAAGGAGGTCACTCCCACACTTACTCTCTACATTTCACCCCAGCTTGCTGTCTTCATAGCACCCGTCCGCATCTGAAGTTATCTGCCTACATATCAATTTCCTTGGTGATTATTTATCTCCTCCACAGAAGGCAAGCTCTCCAAGAGCAGAGTCCCTGTCTGTCTTGCTCACTTACTTCTCATCAGGAGAAAGGACCCAAGCCAGATCTAGGTCAACAAGCAACTGAGGACTTGCTCAGCAGCCCCAAGCTATGGGCATTTATCCTAAGGCTACACACAGCAGTGAGAAAAAGGAAATAACTTCTTAGGAATCTAGAAACAGGTGGAGAGCTGGCTTATAGGACCAGACCTGGGTGGTGCTTAGCAACCTGGAGGACCTGGCCCAGTGTTAGTAACAACAGTGGCCACGTACAGGTGTTGGGGAAGTACCAGCTTTGTGTTTTCTCTTAAGGTAGAACCAATGTAGGTTAGATCCCTCTCCCTCTGCTTCCAGCCCTCCTGCTGCCACCAGCCAACTCTATCGCTCAGCTGCCAACTTCAGCTCCTCTCTTTAGAGCCTTCTGTAGTCAGGTTCTCACTTCAACCATTCTGCTGAATCATCCCTGACCAGGACTACCTGTGACTCGAAGAAGCTATATCTCTGTCTTCATATTATTAAATAGTTGACCTGTCATAGTGGACTATGCCATCCTCCTCAGAAGTCTTTCTCCAGGTTTCCCTCCTACTGTACTTGCTAGTCCTTTTCAGTCTCTTTCGCTGAGCTACTGAATGGGGCTCAGCCCTTGCACAGCTTCCCTATTTTTTTTCTTTTCTTTTTTCTTTTTTTTTTTTTTTTTTTGAGACAGAGTCTTGCTCTGTCACCCAGGCTGGAGTGCAATGGCATAATCTCCGCTCCCTGCAACTGCCACCTCCCAGATTTAAGTGATTCTCCTGCCTCAGCCTCCCGAGTAGCTGGGATTACAGACACCCACCACCACGCCCAGCTAATTTTTGTATTTTTAGTGGAGACGGAGTTTAACCAGGTTGGTCATGCTGGTCGCAAACTCCTGACCTCAGGTGATCCACCCACCTTGGCCTCCCAAAGTGCTGGGATTACAGGTGTGAGCCACTGCACCCAGCTGACAGCTTCCCTATTGACATCCACCCTCTTGGTGATCTCATCCTGTGTCACAGCTTTAAAGAACTATGTGCTGCGCACTCACAAGTACTCATTTCCAGCCTGGACCTCTCCCCAAGACTCACAGTTCCACCTGCCTACAGTCTTCTCCACTTAAGTGCCTAAAAGGCATCTCACACTTATGTCCAAAACCACATTCCTTATCTTCTCACAAAACATGCTCCATCTGTAGGCTTCCATTCAGAAAATGGCAATTCCATCCTCCCAGATGCTCAGGCCAAAACTGGGAATCTTCCTGCTACTCCCAGCCAACTCTGTCCTGTAGTTCACAGCTTCACCTCCTTTCTTTTTAACCTGCCCCAGTCAGGTTCTAACCCCATTCTTTTTAATCTCTCACTTCCAATCCATCAGCAAATCCTCCATGCTACTGCTCTGGTCCAAGCCACCATTGTCTCTTGCTGAGATTTCTGCCACAGCCTCCTAACAGGTTATACTCTTTCTCTCAGTTTATTCTCAACACAGCATCCAGAGTGATCCTGTTAAAATGTGAGTCACATCATGTCACTTCTCGGTAAAAAACCCTCTAGTGGCTCCTGTCTCGGAATCAGAGCCCAAGTTCACACAAGGACCTCTCTTGAGTGCTGTGAATACTGTGGAGCCTCTCGCTACCTCTCTGATCCCTCTCCTACTTCTCCCTTATTCGTTCTACTCTGGCTGCACCACCCTCCTCACTGATCTGTTAACACGTCAGACAGGCCCTCACTGCCAGGCTGTTGCACTTGCCATTCCCTCCACCTGGCAAGCTTCTTCCCCATTAATTCTCAGGGCTTATGTCCTCACTCTTTTCAGGTAACTTTGTTCATAATTTACCTTCTCAGGTGTCTAGCCTTCTCTGGACACACGTTTTATAATTTTGACACCCCTTCTCACCTTCTGCCCCAATATTCCCTACCCCTCTCTCCTGCCTTATTTTTTCTCCTTAGGACTTACCACTTCTGATTCCTGTATTTTTAATGTATGTATTTTGTTAGTTTTTGGTCTCTTCACTACAACCACCCCACACCCACCCGTCCGGTAGACTGCAGGCTCCATGAGGGCAGGGTGTTAACCTTTTTTGTCCAATGCTGTATTCCCAGAGCCCTAGGACAGTGCCTGGCATATATAGGTGCTCAGTAAAGAGCTGATGAATATCCATGAAAATGAATGAGGGACAACTTATTTTTTATACAAGGCCTTGAGACAAAATGGAAAGGGCACTGAGGTTTCTGCCAGTATAGGAGCATTAACAGACCAAATGAGAAAGAAACCCTCTGAGTGGAGAATGCACCTGGGTAGAAGCTTGTGCCTGTGTCTGCCCTGGGCCAGCATGCTGCCAACTCACACCTCAGTGGCTTTCAAAGAACTCACCACAGATGGGCTCTCATCTTTCAACTTCCATCCAGGCTTACTTTGTTCAAAGGCCCACCTTCAGTGCCCTGTTTCAATCATTTACTTTCCTTGTTTTTTGCAGGTACCAGAGTTTGAAGCCCATTGGAGGAAAACACATCAAGGTAAGAAAACAATAAGACCACGTCTTGTTTGAGACTTCCCAACCCAGCCTTGGAAACTGTCCAAGGAAGACCAGGGTGCTAAGTGTTGGCAGCTGGATAAAGGGAAGGCCCAAGAGATTTTGTGTTGACTTCCTGGATAGAGCGAGAGTCCTGGGGACAGCGAGGCAGCTCAGTATAGTCAGTGATGGCTGTGAGGTCTTTAGACTCAGGAAGACAGTGTTTCTCTTGGGAAAATATGGCAGCCTCCCCCAAGCCAGTTGGTTGTGGGCCCACAGCACGGCTCTCCTGCCCTTCCTTCCCTACCTCCTTCTGGGTCTCCCCTTCCTCACTTGCCCAGAAGTGCTGCCTGGCCCACTGAAGGCATAGCAGGCTTCTGCAGAGGGTCTAGGGCTTTCTTCTGAGATGGAGTCTCGCTCTGTCGCCAGACTAAAGCACAGTGGTGCAATCTCGGCTCACTGCAACCTCTGCCTCCCGGGTTCAAGCGATTCTACTGCCTCAACCTCCCAAATAGCTGGGGCTACAGGCACACGCCACCATGCCCAGCCAATTTTTGTATTTTTAGTAGAGACGGGGTTTCACCATGTTGGCCAGGATGGTCTCGATCTCTTGATCTCATGATCTGCCCACCTCGGCCTCCCAAAGTGCTGGGATTACAGGCATGAGCCACCGCGCCTGATTTTTTTTTTTTTTTTTTTAAAAGCAAGACTGGTTTAGTTCAAAAGGTATATACTAAGATCTTCCTAGTATAGGGCTTCTCTGATTCTGTGTTTAATCTCAGTCCAAATTTTGTTAAGATCCTCAGCAAATAAATGGATGTGGGAGATGTGTGATTGGGAGAGAGGCAGCATTTAAAAATGTGTCTGGCTTTTGACCATGCAATTTCACTTTCCAGAATTTATTCTAGGAAAATACTCATACTTGTGCAAAGTTTATGTACAAAGATAGTTATAACTGCATTGTTTATCATTTACAAAAAGGAAACATCTGAAAGCCCAACAGAAAGGAATTGGTTATTCCACATTGGCACATTCATACAAGGGAATGTCATTAGGCAGAATGATGAAAATATATATTGATGAGAAAGATATTTGAATGTACCATTTTTTTAAAAAAGAAATGGAAAATCTTACAAACCATTCAAGGAAAGTAACTTTGGACTCAGCCTGAAGGGCTGAAATTGAGCTTAGTCTCTTAATCAAGTTGGGAACTCAGGCAAGTAATGTGATCTCCCTGAACTTGTTTCCTGCCTGTAAATGGGGCACAATAACACCTAGCTTGTGAAGTTGGAAGGATTAAGAGAGATTAACACATCTAAAGACCTCAGCACAGCCCAGTAGGTGATGATTGCTCAGTAGCTGGGTGCTTAGATGAGACTGTGATAGTATTTTTACCTATTTATAAGCCTGGAAACATTCTGGAAATTCATACACCAGCAGTGGAGTTTCCTGACTAATCAAATCCTGGATGATTTTTAATATTTTCTTATTTTTCTACAAAGAATATCTCCTGCTTATCTAAGGATGGTATAGTTTTTAAAAAGTGACAATTTAAAAGGTTTAAAAAAAAGTAACAATTTAAAAGGTTTAAAAAAAAGTGCATTTCAGCAGGTAAGTTTGTTAAGTAATCCCTGCACAGAGCTCTAGAGAACTGAGGGAGAGGTGGGAAAGAAAGGGAATAGGAAGAACAGTGGGTAGAGGAAAAGAAAGAAGGGGAGGTCAGACCCCAGGGCTAGTGGCCAAGGAGATGCACCTCAGCGGTAACGCTGGAGCCCCAGCAAGCGTGTGTGTGTCCTCCCATCCCCTATGATTGGCACCTCCCAGGGGAGCTCCAGGTAGGAGATGGTAACCAAGGCTCATCTGTCCCAGCTTCTGCTGACAATAAATGTGTACAGCCTCTTTTAGCTGCTGAGACAGCCTGACTATAGCACAACCAGGGAGAGGCCCTGTGGCTCTAGTCCTGGACCTGGCTCATCCACCTTTGGTAAACCCAGCATTTTTTTCCACGTCCTGAGTAGGAGAGGCAGGGCATCCTAGTGAATTCCCAGGAGTCATTCTGAAAGGATTAGCACCTCTCTTCTTTAGCAGCCCAGTAGGATCTATATCCAAGAGACAGGTCTCCCAAGCAAATACAGGCTGCCAGGAAAGGGAAATGGTGACCACCTAAGGGCTGCCATTCCTGGCTCTCATCCCCACCCACACCCCACCAACTGCCTTAATGCCCTGTGACATCAGGAGGAACCCTTCCATGCTGATGGTGCTTAAGCCCACCTATGCCAGTTCATTGAGTATTCTTAGAGAGACATGACTCTTCTATATAAGCAAATTTTCCAAATTATTAAATTTGATCCCATCACATTGCAGTTTTAAAATTGTACCCATTTTAAATTAATTTCTATTTCATCAAATTTATCAAAATAATACACAAATTCAAAATGGCCGGAAGAGTTGATTTTGAATGTTGTCACCACAAAGAAATGACAAGTGTTTAAGGTGATAGATATGCTAATTACCCTGATTTGATCATGACACACTATATGTATGTCTAGAAACATCACACTGCACTGCAATTATTATGTGTCCATTAAAAATAAATAAAAAATAATGCATACGTATGGTTTAAATATCAATTGTACTGAGAAGCCCGTAATAAAAATCCCTTCCCCACCTTTCGCAGTTTCCCTCTCTATAGGCTACCTCTTTCAACCATTTACTAATTTCCATTTCTGTTTCTACTATTTTTTGATCTACCAATTTTAGGCATTTGTTGACTTCTTGTGGTAGATGAGGATTGAGCTTTCCTACAGAACCATCCCCACTTTTCCTCCCTCATCCTTCCAATAAGAACATAACACAATCTGTGGTTAACTCAATAGTGAGTGTGGACATATTCGTCACTGCTGAGTTATGTAGCATCTTTGAGTTCCGGAAGATTTTCTTATATTATTTCTTTAATAATTTTCTTCCCTCTGTTTTATCTATTGGATCATCTGGATTAATGTTTTAGTTTCCTTATATTTTCTCTCCTACTTTTCATCTCTTTGCCTTTTTGGTCTATTTTCTTGGGAAACCTTCATTGACTTCATACTCCAATCCTTCTATTGATTTTTTTTTTAATTTTGGCTTTCTTTTTCTAATATCCTAGTACTCATTCTTGTTCTGCCTGTTCTTTTTCAAAAATATCACATTCTTTTTTATGCATATGCTGTCTCCATCTTATTCTTCTTGAGGCACTATTTATTTTTCATTTGTCCATTTGTCTTAATAGTCTTCTAGTCTCTATTTTGTTTTTGTTTCCAACTGGAGGTGGCAGCAGTGGCAGGGCTGGTGGTGGTGGTTGTTGTTGTTGTTGTTGTTGTTGTTATTCTTCTTCTTCCTCCTCCTTCTTCTTCCTTCTTCTTCTTCCTTCTTCCTCCTCCTCCTCCTTCTTCTTCTCCTCCTCCTCCTTTTTCTTCTTTCTCCTTCTTCTTTCTTCTTCTTCTCCCTTCTTCTTTCTTCTTCTTCTCCCTCTCTCTGTCTCTCCATCTCTCCTTGTTGGAGGCTTTCCTTAAATGCCAAATATCTCAGCTATCTGCTGGTATTTATTAATGGAGCAATAAGAGGCTGAACTAAACTCTGCTTGGGCAGAATTTATCAACTGGGGTTTCACTACAGGAAGCAAGCCAGTCTTTTAGTTAACAAGCCTCCAATGAGCACCTTTTTTTTTTTTTTTTGAGACGGAGTCTCGCTCCGTCACCCGGGCTGGAGTGCAGTGGTGCGATCTTCGGCTCACTGCAAGCTCTGCCTCCCGGGTTCATACCATTCTCCTGCCTTAGCCTTCCTAGTAGCTGGGACTACAGGTGCCCGCCACCACACCCAGCTAAGTTTTTGTATTTTTAGTAGAGATGGGGTTTCACCATGTTAGCCAGGATGGTCTCAATCTCCTAACCTCATGATCCACCCACCTTGGCCTCCCAAAGTGCTGGGATTACAGATGTGAGCCACTGCACCTGGCCATGAGCACCTTTTCTCCAGAGCTAGGTTTCTCGGCCTTGGTACTAGTGACATGTTGGACCAAAGTCTCGTGCACTATAGAATGTTTAGCAGCACCAGTGACTTCTATCTACTAAATGCCAGTAGTAACCCCCCTCCCAGAGATGTGATAACCAAAATGTCTGTAAACATTACCAAATATCCCCTGGGGGACAAAGTCACCCTGTTGAGAACCACCACCCTGAAGCCATTCTGCTCTCAAGAGAAGCATTCTAACTCCTAGTTCTAGTTATCGATCACTACATAACAAACCACCCCAAAACTTAGTAGCATAAAACAACCACCATTTTTAGGGCCACTGTCAAGGATTCAGAAGGGCATGGCTCTTTATTCTACAATGACTGGGATGACTGGAATGACTGGACGTGACTGGAATGACTGAGAGTTGGAACAGCTGGGGCTGAAGGGTCCACTTGTAAGATGGTTGTTCACTTGGCAAAGAGAGCTGGAAGGCTGGACTCAGCTGTTGAGAGACTACACATGGTGTTTCCAGCACCATGGCCTGGTCACTGGGCCTCTTATGAGGTAGCTCAAGTCTCTGGTGTGAGTGTTCTGGCCAGCAAAACAGAAGCTGCATGGCTGTGTATGTCCCAACCGTGGAAGTCACATAGCTCATTTCCACTGTAGTCAGAAATCCACACAGGTTCAGGGAAGGAGAGACAGACCCACCTCTCCATTGGAGAAAAGTCAAAGAATTTGCAACCATCTTTTAAATCCACCATACCCTCATCCAGAGTGATATAGACCTGGGGTGGGGCGGGGCAAGGTAAGTGGGTGGGACATTGAGTCCCACACTTCGTTCTTCAGACTTTTCCCTCACCTCCGTTTTCATCTCTGTATTCATCTGCCTTCCCTCCTGCCTGTCTCTCTCCTGTTCAGTGTCTTTGTCTCCAGCTGTGTGGGGCAGGGTGCAGAGGTGAGACCTGGGGAGGATTTCAACCAGTTTCCTGCATTCATTACCCTCACTGGCTG